TGTACTCGAGCTTGAGATGACGTTGTATGATGGAGTCCCGACCATGCTGATACTGATATCACTTTGGTACATGTGTTATCGTAACAGCTGATTGTAGATTCATGGCCACTGCCTGCTATGATCTCTGTGAGTTTTTGAAACATATGCGTATGGCATCAGTGTTGCTAATGTAGATTCGAGGCATAGATACCACTGTCTCACACGGCTTCCGGTTACAGACTGCGTTGTATGTATGTCGTCCATATTGTTACATGTAGGCTCCAATTGTTTGCACATATTCTGTTTGAGTTCCGTTCAGTGCAACACAGTTGGGGAACACCCTAACGGTGAATCATATCTCATGTCACTGCCAAGAAGCTGGTGAACACCCTCACTCAATCATACCTCATATAAGTGCCACAAAGTCGGGGAACACCCTTTCACTCAATCATATCCATATTAGTGCCACAAAGTCGGGGAACACCCTTTCACTCAATCATATCCATATTAGTGCCACAAAGTCGGGGAACACCCTTTCACTCAATCATATCCATATTAGTGCCACAGTGTTGGGGGACGCTCTTTCACTCAATCATATCCATATTAGTGCCACAGTGTCGGGGAACACCCTTTCACTCAATCATATCCATATTAGTGCCACGGTGTCGGGGGACACTCTTTTACTCAATCATATCCATATTAGTGCCACAGTGTCGGGTAACACCCTTTCACTCAATCATATCCATATTAGTGCCTCAGTGTTTTGGGAAACTCTTTCACTCAATCATATCCACATTAGTGCCACAGTGTCGGGGGACACTCTTTTACTCAATCATATCCATATTAGTGCCACAGTGTCGGGGAACACCCTTTCACTCAATCATATCCATATTAGTGCCACAGTGTCGGGGAACACCCTTTCACTCAATCATATCCATATTATTGCCACAAAGTCGGGGGACACCCTTTCACTCAATCATATCCATATTAGTGCCACAGTGTTGGGGGACGCTCTTTCACTCAATCATATCCATATTAGTGCCACAGTGTCGGGGAACACCCTTTTACTCAATCATATCCATATTAGTGCCACGGTGTCGGGGGACACTCTTTTACTCAATCATATCCATATTAGTGCCACAGTGTCGGGTAACACCCTTTCACTCAATCATATCCATATTAGTGCCTCAGTGTTTTGGGAAACTCTTTCACTCAATCATATCCATATTAGTGCCACAGTGTCGGGGGACACTCTTTTACTCAATCATATCCATATTAGTGCCACAGTATCGGGGAACACCCTTTCACTCAATCATATCCATATTAGTGCCACAGTGTCGGGGGACACCCTTTCACTCAATCATATCCATATTATTGCCACAAAGTCGGGGGACACCCTTTCACTCAATCATATCCATATTAGTGCCACAGTGTCGGGGAACACCCTTTCACTCAATCATATCCATATTAGTGCCACAGTGTCGGGGAACACCCTTTTACTCAATCATATCCATATTAGTGCCACAGTGTCGGATAACACCCTTTCACTCAATCATATCCATATTAGTGCCTCAGGGTTTTGGGACACTCTTTCACTCAATCATGTCCATATTAGTGCCACTGTGTCGGGGGACACTCTTTTACTCAATCATATCCATATTAGTGCCACAGTGTCGGGGGACACTCTTTTACTCAATCATATCCATATTAGTGCCACAGTGTCGGATAACACCCTTTCACTCAATCATATCCATATTAGTGCCTCAGGGTTTTGGGACACTCTTTCACTCAATCATGTCCATATTAGTGCCACTGTGTCGGGGGACACTCTTTTACTCAATCATATCCATATTAGTGCCACAGTGTCGGGTAACACCCTTTCACTCAATCATATCCATATTAGTGCCACAATGTCGGGGGACACCCTTTCACTCAATCATATCCATATTAGTGCAACGGTGTCGGGGAACACCCTTTCACTCAATCATATCCATATTAGTGCCACAATGTCAGGGGACACCCTTTCACTCAATCATATGCATATTAGTGCCACGGTGTCGGGGGACACCCTTTCACTCAATCTTATGCATATTAGTGCCACAGTGTCGGGGGACACTCTTTCACTTAATCATATCCATATTAGTGCCAGTGTCGGGGAACACTCTTTCACTCAATCATATCTCATATCAGTGCCACAAAGTCGGGGAACACCCTTTTTTAGTCAGTCATACCTCATACCACTGTCTACACAGCCGGGGAACACCCTTTCAGATACTCATAAATCATATCAGAGCCGGAGAACACCCCCACAGTGAATCAAATTTCTTCTCAGTCCTACACACTCCGGGAACACCCTTTCATTGAGATATATCTTACTGCAGTCCCACACAGCCGGAACACCCTCACAGTTAACCGTAGCTGTGAAGATTCGGGGTACACTTTTACGGTGAATCGCATCTCACATTAGTGCCACACAGTCAGGGAACGCACCTAGAGAGAGATTCCTACCTCTGATCAGTGCCATGCTCTGGAAAAGTGCAAAGCAGATAATGTGGCTCTGTGACGACGTGTTCAACATTGATTAAATGTTACATGAAGGCTGAGTCGATTGTGCGAATATAATAGCCACAAGTTTCAGCTGCTGCATACTAATCAAATTATCTGTATCGTCGTGTAGGGGAGTAAACGTAGGAGCATTCCGAGCCAGGAATTAATGTGATGGTAAATACTTGGTTGTGTTTCAGCTCCACGAAAATCGGTTTTTTTTCTAGCGGTGAGTCACTTATGAGTCAAAGGGAGATAATTCAAACCTGACGGTCTCCGTTTAATATGTATAAGTTGACTGAGACATAATGAATGGTCAGATGACTGGTTGGATGGTTGGATGAATACGTGAATTGGTGCTTGAGTGATTTAGTTTGATGGATAGAGAGATGGATAGATGGATAGATAGGGTAGGCTGGTGGATAGCTAGATAGACAGATTTATTCTGTTCTTATTCTATCCAGATAGATCTGAAGTCTGATCATGAATTAGAGGTTTTAAACTATTGTCCATATGCATCTTAATTCTCTTATTTTTATGTCACGATCTGAAGAACTTCATCTCGTAACCTTGAGTTGAAGTTGATAAAATTCAAGCATCGGTAATTGCAATTCGACGGGTAATCGTAGCAAAAATGTCTAGTTGAAAGTTTGATGTTTGGGGTCTTTCAGCGACTCTGAAAGTATTTGATTCTCTATTCTCTAAGTCCCATGTAGCTAACGTGATTTGTGATTGCCCCTGTCTCTAACTGAAATCACAAATGTTATTATTGACGATAAGTATGCAGTGGCGGACGTATGTAGGTTTCAGTGCCGTGACTGTGCAAATCCGTTCCGAGAGATCAATAACCTTTGAAGATTCCACGATATCTCACCACAGGCACGGACGAAACTTAGCGTCCTATTTCTGACATGTGTATCCCTGGTTCAATTCCATATCAGTTCTGTTCCTGCCATTAACGCGTTCTTATCAGCTCTACTAAAAACATTCTCACACGTTTCAATTGTGATTTGACGCAAGCATGGCAAGCAGCATGTCATTGGCGGAACGTTGATTAGATAGCCGAATGTTAAAGCTGGTTCTACATAGTGTTGGAAGTTTTGCAAACGTTATGATGTTCCTGTATTTTCATTGTCGAGTGAACAACGCCGGTATCCTTATTTACATATCATTGGTTCAACGCTGTGTTAGACGTGTAAGAACAGATTCAAAGCATCTTCAACATTTCTGCATTGTCAGTAAGAAAACAGCTATTGATCACTATTTCATCGTCAGATATTTTGCATCCAGCATTATGGCTCGGTTTATTACACTGACGAAGGTCTGGCGGTCAGGCTCGCTGACTTTATTAATGCATGTCATCGTGCCACAGTTGCTTTGACTGCTGCTCATATCAGTCACTTGATTGTCAGGTCCAGACTCAATTATTTACTGGCCACTTTCATACTAGTGGAACCGCTCCGAGTACAGAGTTAAAGCATAAACAATTTAAAAAATACACCCGCTGGCGTATATGCTTAAACTAACGCTTATGATGTCGCCAGAATCAACGCTATCTGCAGACAGGCCACGACAAGGGACAGATCAGACAAACACAGGACACTGACCTTACACCATACATCTGACGACTGCACTACAAGAGCAGCATAGAACACTGACACGGATGTCCTCAAGCACCCCATGACTGCTTCATATATGTCATGCATAATTGGGGGCAGTGGGGTAGTCTAGTGGTTAAAGCGTTCGCTCGTCACGCTGAAGGTCCAGGTTCGATTCCCCACATGGGTACAATGTGTGCATAATTGAATCTGCTGGTGTGACTTCGTGGCACGTTCTTTTCATCACTGGTAAGATAAGAGCACGATCACCCGTGTGTCAAATATAGACTAGATTTGTTTGAAAGGATGAGTGATGCAGTTGGGCGTAAAATAACATTCACTCACTGACACCAGGGCCTAGATTTTCGCTAAGCGCTAAGATAGTCGTAAGTTAATGTTAATGTATGGCACTTACGACTATCTTAGCGCTAAGAGAGCTTCGAAAATCTAGGCCCTGATCAATAGAGCTATCATACATCTGAATACAAACGCACCATTCGACAAAGCAAGTACACATATGCATCTGTTTGTCAGTACTATACTTCTGTTCCTGGGTCCCTTAAAGAAGTAAACGTCTGAGACACACATCGCCATGACAAACGTGTGAGACACACATCTCCGCTTTACCGACATTCTGCGCAAAGCGGCTTTAAACCTAACACACATACCTAATATATGCAGCCACAGTAAACAGACGTGTTAGGAACATATTATGAGCATTTGAAACATACCATCAGGTCAGGCGCACGCCGACTTGAAGTAAACTACAGCTTTGCCAAGTTTCAAGCTGTTGATGCCAGCATGTAACCGCTGTACTGGAGAGTGAAGATGAACAAAACATACCTCCTTAGGCGGCATAAAAAACACAAAAGATACATGAATGAAACTATTTTGTAATATACACATTATCATCTGATAACAACTGCGTATGAAAGGTCAAATCCTGCTTATCATATCACTGTGTAAAACGTTGCTGGTCTCGTCTGACAGTGTTGTCCGAGACAAATGTAAGCAAGCAATGGAAGAGCACTATAATGAGTTCTATAGCTGTATGGTAGTGGAATGCAAATAGTATCCCTATAATATAGTATACTCTGGCAGAAGAAAACAAATAAATAGGTAAAAATGTACATTCAAGAAACTCCGACGTACAAAAGGTTCATACCATTATGTGTTAGCCAAAATAATCTGCTATTTGGGATCAACAGACACATATAGAAACGTCAAATGGATATGTCGTTAAACGGATATGTCAGGAAATAAACCATGAGGGTAAGCGAGTAAAAGATTTTACGCCGTTTTCATAAACATTTCAGCCATGACGGGGAGAGGGGGGCCAAAGAATGGACTTCACCACCACACTGGAAATGGAACCCAGTCTTTGACTTGATAAAACAATGCTGTAACCATTCCCCTGTAACCACAATGCTGTTACACATGTAACCGCTAAACGTTTATGCGATACTATTTCCCCGCCGACATCACAACAACATCATCCATACAACCAACACCCTCTTCTTCACTTGATTCGAAGTACATGTTCATATCAACAGGAAGTATAAACCTACTGGAACTATTATACGAAATGTCAATGTGATATTGTGACATTATGCATATGTGACGATTCTGCAATTGTCAAAGCGTTCGTTGACTTGAGGAAATAGGGGAAAAGTACATTCACATAATGGTTTACCAAGTAACCACTAAGAAAACACATAGGTTGTATTTACATATATGTACATACATAGTTCAATGGCAATATTATAACAACATTGTTCAAGAATATAACAATGTTAACTCGCTTAAAAAGCTTCAAGGTTCTATTTATACATATTTAAATGAAAGTGACTATATTTTATCCTGAAGTTATACTTCTACATGCTGTTGGGATTTGACCAGTATAAAAACTACTAATGTCGTTGCTTTTTCCCCGTCAGTAACGGGTAACAATGCATTAATCTGTACAAGATGTGCACTAAATAAATATTATCATGTACCGTAACATTATTCTTTCAGTTCCATACAATCACAGAAATCAGACCTCTATAAAGATTAACACAGCGACCTTGTGTACAAATACAACATATTTGCATATATATTTCAGTGCAATGAAAGAGGGACATTCAACCTTAAGTAAATGTAGCAATGTAACAACTATACCTTTTACTTCTATGCATAGTGAATAGTGATAGGGGCTGTTCCTAAACCACACCCATTGGGCTGTGAGAATATGTACTTGGTAAAGTAAACAGCAATATATAATGATATGTCAAGTTCGTATCTTCATTTATGTACAATACCTTGCATGCCTGTTCTACACAACCGACGCCGCACCCCACGTCATCATGCCCCCTATCACAAAGCCGAAGTCACATTCCGAAGATCCCTACCAGACATTCAGCTGCTGAATATAGACACATAGCCCTCATTCACACTGTGGGTGTCCTTACTACACATTCAACCGTTGAATGTCTCTAGCCACTGAGCCATCATTCACAGTGTGAATGCCCATACCAACCTCTCAATGCAAGCACTGAGTTCCCATTCACAGTGTGAATGCCCATACCAACCTCTCAATGCAAGCACTGAGTTCCCATTCACGGTGTGAATGTCTTTAGTGCATCTTTAATCGTTTAACGTCTGAAACTGCTGATTCACGTCACACAGCCAACATGCACACGTTGAGTTCTCCAGAAATACAATCAATAATAACGCTGAGGATGCCTCATACCATAAAGCCAAAATCCCACTAACATCGCCCTGTCACACAAACCACCAGTCTTCTCACACAACCAACATTGGAGAAACATAGCCCAACCACACAACATCATTCCCAATCCCAGTGTCTGAACAAACAATCGCGCTTTGCATGCTCCATACCATACATCCAATATTCACACCATGCACTCATACGATTAAGTGCTGATTTGAATAAGACAAATTATTCTTCAGCTGTTTGTTATGTCCATCTGAGCACAATGCTGCATTGAAACACCTTGGCTAGAAACAACAAAGATGTGCGTTAAAGTAAACACCTGTCTGCTGATAAGCAACAGTTGGAAGGTCTGTCTTTATCAATATTTGTGAAGCCCAGCTAGTATCTGCCCTGTGTTTGTGTAACCCTCATATCATGAAATGAAGGGTTTTCAAAGTGACCGCCAGAAGAAAACTCCACCAAGAGCCTCTAAGATTCATCATAAGGGTTCTATTCCTCTCCATTCAACGCCTGTTTAAGTCGTGTGCTCTTATAATCAGCACTATAGACAATAGATGGCAAGATGACAGCCAAGGAGGTTACTATTATAAGGAAGTACACGACAAAGATAATTCTGTCGAGGATCAAAGCTGACGCCTTCCATTCTTTCACCATACTTTCGCGTCGGTCTTTGTCCGCCAAACGTTGCTTGTGAGCACGAATAAAATCTCTTAGTTCTCCTAGTTTGGAGTCAATTGATGCAATTGGGCCAGTAGTATGGGTGCATTTTAGATGTGTAAGTACTTCAGTTGAGGCCATAGGGTCCTGGCTCCACTTGGTGTCTTCCTCACCAGGGTTGCTGCTTGTAGCCGCTGCTTCCTCTCCTCTGTCTTTCTTCTGGAATGGTCGGACAAGGTCTTCCATGTGCAGCACCTTGGCGCATACGTCAAACAGTATCTACAACACACAGCATCGTGTTAGTCAGCACTTTGATCTCGTGTAATACAACACCTACAGTCACTGTCGTATACTTCCTACAATGGTGGCAATGGTGGCGATGTTGTATTATACAACATATGGGACTTCCCCCACCATACGTCACACTTTATGCTGACTTCCTTAACGACGGCCGGTGCTCTCTGGTTTTATAAACGTGGGTAACGTCCGCATGATTTCGTTATTGCCTCACACATCAAGCTGACAGCCACGATATAAATGAAATACTGCTCCAAGTGGCGTTACACCAAACACACTCACTATAATCATGTCTTACCAAAGTGTTGATGTACTATATAACAACGCTCAGGGTCGCCGACACATAAGTCTCGGCGTAGTATTGATCTCCTACAATACACAAGAGGTCGCCGTCCTCAGGAGCCTGTATATAGTGATGATCTCCAGTTAGCATTAACATTGAAACAGGTTAGAACCTTGAAATCCGCTTAGAGCGGTCAAACAAATGTGAGGATAGCCTTCATCAGGCGACTAGATCCTCTTATTATGCGTAACCCGACCATGGCTCATATTATTGCCAGCCTGTCCTATTCTGTTTTTGTTGATGATAGTGACACAGACAACGTACTCAATCAAACTGGAACGAGTTGCTGAAATCGTCAATGCTAAAATGTAAATATTTCAGGCAACTAGATATTTCATACAAGCTCTGGGTTGTTGTTTAGTATTAACACAACCGGAGTTTACTTTATAGGCTTTCTGTGTTTTACTCGACATTATTTACAACAATTACACAGTGAGACACTGATATCAATGACCCAATGAGTTAATTACAAAAATGATGCGGTGTGGCAATGTCAAACATTACCCAGGGGACAATAAATTACAAAAATGCACGGCATTACAATTGCTTCCAACAATGACTTACAATGTCATCGTCTTACAACAAGAGACAATATGATATCAGTTCACCACAAATGTCGAAAACTTATTCCTCGTGATTTTTGAATCATTATGATTAATAGTTTTCAATTATTGATATTTTAAATATGTTAATTCAGAGTGAGTCAGTCAGTCAGTCAACAATATTCCAGCTATATGGCGGCGGTGTGTAAGTAATCGAGTCTGGACAAGAAAATCCAGTGATCAACAGCATGAGCATCGATCTGCGCAAATGGGAACCGATGACATGTGTCAACCAAGTCAGCGAGCCTGACCACCCGATCGCGTTAGTCGCCTCTTACGACAAGCATGGGTTGCTGAAGATCAATATTCTTATCCGGACCTTCACGGGTATGTTAATTCAGAGGTGAGGTGAGGTGATGTGAGGTGAGGTGAGGTGAGGTGAAATTGGGTTTAACGTCGTGCTTGAGAATATTTCGCTCATATGACGACGTGCATGCGTGTGTATGTGTATGTGCGGCTGCTTGTACTAGCCCAGACTGAAGCTAGTTTTATAGTGCTAGCCCACTGAGATACCATGCCGCAGTGAAGCATGAAGACCCCACTCAGACACATTATACTGACTCCGAGCCGACCAGTCCTTGTTGTACCCATTAATGCCGAGTGCAGGCAGGGACCAACAAGTACCATATTTTAACGTCTTTTTGGTATGACGCGGTCGGGGATCGAACCCGCGACCTATCGCTCTCCGGGCGGACGCTCTAACCATTACACCACGGAGGCGGTCGTTAATTCAGAAGTTGGCAGTGACGTAGTTAGTGTTTCTTGTCAGGGCAACTCACCGCCTTCATAGGAGGAGGAATGTTTGCTCTCTGTCCATATGCTGCCCAGTTGACCACCAGCACATTGAGGAATGATGATAAGGTGATGATGATCATATTGAGACAGTAATAAGTACCTGCAACAGTAGTCAAGCATGTGGTTTATGAATATTACTCACGTAAGCCGTTATAAAAGAAATAATTAACTCCATTATGATTTGTGCATCACATGTGAAGAAAACGTAAATAGATGACTCGAGCATAGGGCTGTAACCACTGGTCACATGTAGATAGACCACTTGCTATTACACATCGGTGCTTTATTAGTAATAGAAATCCATAGACATCCCTCATATCCACAACTCCTGGCATGTACATGTAAAACGCCAACACCAGGGAGTAATCAATGTGCTCCACTGCCACTCACACCCGCCATTGACACAATTTGCATAAATACGAAATAATAAATGTATAACAAAGTTCACCTTTATAATATTTCCAAATGCTAACAAACGACTGATTCTTACAGAACCTCACTGGACCAGCACATGCTCTCGTTCACCCGCATCAAACACAATCATTCAGCATCAAATCATGGAATAGTCCAGTACTCCTACACTACTTCACCCTCTGCTACTACACTACCTCACCCTCTGCTCCTACACTACCTCACCCTCTGCTACTACACTACCACACCCTCTGCTCCTACACTACCTCACCCTGTACTCCTACACTACCTTAACCTGTACTCCTACACTACCACACGCTGTACTCCTACACTACCACACCCTGTGCTCCTACACTACCTCACCCTCTGCTACTACACTACCACACGCTGTACTCCTACACTACCTCACCCTGTACTCCTACACTACCACACCCTCTGCTACTACACTACCTAACCCTCTGCTCCTACACTACCTCACCCTCTGCTCCTACACTACCCCACCCTCTGCTCCTACACTACCTCACCCTGTACTCCTACACTACCTCACCCTGTACTCCTACACTACCACACGCTGTACTCCTACACTACCTCACCCTGTACTCCTACACTACCTCACCCTGTGCTCCTACACTACCTCACCCTGTACTCTTACACTACCTCACGATGTGCTCCTACACTACCTGACGCTGTACTCCTACACTACCTCACCCAGTGCTCCTACAATACCTCACCCTGTACTCCTACACTACCTCACGATGTGCTCCTACACTACCTGACGCTGTACTCCTACACTACCTCACCCAGTGCTCCTACAATACCTCACCCTGTACTCCTACACTACCTCATCCTGTATTCCTACACTACCTCACCCTGTACTCCTACACTACCTCACGATGTGCTCCTACACTACCTGACGCTGTACTCCTACACTACCTCACCCAGTGCTCCTACAATACCTCACCCTGTACTCCTACACTACCTCACCCTGTACTCCTACACTACCTCATCCTGTACTCCTACACTACCTCACCCAGTGCTCCTACACTACCCCACCCTCTGCTCCTACACTACCTCACCCTGTACTCCTACACTACCTCACCCTGTACTCCTACACTACACCTGTACTCCTACACTCTCACCCCCTGTACTCCTACACCACCACACCCTGTACTCCTACCTACACTGTACCCCACACCCTCACCCTAACTCTTACACTACCTCACGATGTGCTCCTTACACTACCTGACGCTGTACTCCTACACTACTCACCCCTCCCACACACCTCAGTGCTCCTACAATACCTCACCCTGTACTCCTACACTACCACGCTGTGCTCCTACACTCACGATGTGCTCCACACTGTGCTCCCCGATGTACTCCTACACTACGCTGTACTCCTACACTACCTCACCCAGTGTCTCCTACACTACCTCACCCTGTACTCCTACACTACCTCATCCTGTATTCCTACACTACCTCACCCTGTACTCCTACACTACCTCACGATGTGCTCCTACACTACCTGACGCTGTACTCCTACACTACCTCACCCAGTGCTCCTACAATACCTCACCCTGTACTCCTACACTACCTCACCCTGTACTCCTACACTACCTCATCCTGTACTCCTACACTACCTCATCCTGTACTCCCACACTACCACATCCTGTTACACACACTACCTCACGCTGTACTCCCACACTACCTCGTCCTGTTCTCCTACACTACCTCGTCCTGTCCTCCTACTCTATTCGTCCTGTTCTCCTACACTACCTCGTCCTGTTCTCCTATATTACCTCGTCCTGTTCTCCCACACTACCTCATCCTGATCTCCTACACTACCTCATCCTGTTCTCCTACACTAACTCGTCCTGTTCTCCTATATTACCTCGTCCTGTTCTCCCACACTACCTCGTCCTGTTCTCCTATATTACCTCGTCCTGTTCTCCCACACTACCTCATCCTGTTCTCCCACACTACCTCATCCTGTTCTCTTACACTACCTCGTCCTGTACTCCCACACTACCTCATCCTGTTCTCCTACACTACCTCGTCCTGTACTCCCACACTACCTCATCCTGTACTCCCACACTACCTCGTCCTGTTCTCCCACACTACCTCGTCCTGTACTCCCACACTACCTCATCCTGTACTCCCACACTACCTCGTCCTGTTCTCCTACACTACCTCGTCCTGTTCTCCCACACTACCTCATCCTGTTCTCCTACACTACCTCGTCCTGTACTCCCACACTACCTCACCCTGTACTCCTACACTACCTCATCCTGTACTCCTACACTACCTCATCCTGTACTCCCACACTACCTCACGCTGTACTCCCACACAACCTCACGCTATACTCCCACACTACCTCGTCCTGTTCTCCTACACTACCTCGTCCTGTCCTCCTACTCTATTCGTCCTGTTCTCCTATTCTACCTCGTCCTGTTCTCCTATATTACCTCGTCCTGTTCTCCTCCACTACCTTGTCCCTGTTCACTTCCTCCATACCACCTCTACCTGTACTCCCCACACTCCACCTCTCCTGTCCTGTTCTACCCTACACCATCCTGTACCACACACTACCTCACATCCTGCCTCCCACACTACCTCATCCTGTTCTCCACCTCCGTCCTGTCCTCCTACTCCTATCTCGTCCTGTTCTCCTACTCTACTACCTCTCGTCCCTGTTCTGTTCTCCACTACCTCGTCCTGTTCTCCTATATTACCTCGTCCTGTTCTCCTCCACTACCTTGTCCTGTTCTCCTCCACTACCTCGTCCTGTTCGCCTCCACTACCTTGTCCTGTTCTCTATACTACCTTGTCCTGTTCTCCTCCACTACGTTGTCCTGTTATCCTCCACTACCTCGTCCTGTTCTCCTTTCCTAGCTTGTCATGTTCATCTCAACTACCTCGTCCTGTCCTCCTACACTACTTCGTCCTGTTCTCCTCTACTACCTCGCCCTGTTCTACTCCACTGCCTCGCCCTGTTCTCCTCCACTACCTTGTCCTGTTCTCCTCCACTACCTCGTCCTGTTCTCCTATACTACCTTGTCCTATTCATCTCCACTACCTCGTCCTGTCCTCCTACACTACCTCGTCCTGTCCTCCTACACTACCTCGTCCTGTCCTCCTACACTACCTCGTCCTGTCCTCCTACACTACCTCGCCCTGTTCTCCTCCACTGCCTCTACCTCATCCTGTACTTATCCACTACCTCACCCTGTACTCCTACCCTACTGTACCTCATCATGTATTCCTCTACGTACCCTTTGTTATGTCACTAAGGAACGTTTCTGTTCTTCCACACTTTTTATTTAAGAAGTGCCCTTTCTCAATGTGACAAAAATCAATATTAAAGCTGCTCTTCCGAAAAGATATTTAAAGATGATTATCTGAAGCTAATAACGAAGTATAAAATTACCGTGCGCTGAGCGCTGATATTTTGTGTGAAACCAGCTAAATATAGATCCGTCTGATTATTGTAATGCTAATTAGGAAGCGGCCTCTACACATCAAACTATATCGGGAGTTTGCTAATATCGGTTGAAATACCAATTTCCATCCCAGCGCGGGACATGCTGGCTTCGCTCTTAGTGCTGACGAGACACCGCTGTGAGGAGCTTTCGGAAATGCTCCAAGCATTTGACAAATATGGCTTGGTCTATCATCTGATGCCGTGTATGAGTAGACGGTGCTTTTGGATAATGTTCATAAGTACGCTTTACACAAGCAGCATCCTATTTGGCCAGTTATGATCAAAGTAAGTTTGAAGATAAATGTAACAGAACATCATATAAGTTCAATTAGACCTCCGATCATCCCGGAATCGTTTGAAATTCGTGTCACGGTCTATACTTCACCTATCAATGGCATGCTGGATGTACCAGGCGGCAGGTTCTTCTCCAATATTTTCAGCAGAATGAAGAAGGCAATGAAGATTGTCAAACCTGAAAATGAAATATAACACTTTTGAATTAAAACAGTTATTTTCATATTTCATAGCATGCTTAAGACGCATCGGCGCTGTAGCTCACCTGGGTATATAGTCAACAGTTTCATGTTAATGGCAAGGTAGATATTTAACTCTTCATAAAAACCGAAACAAACACTAACAATGCAAAACTAATGAAACATACAACTTTATGGATGACAACTTCTGGTTTATTTGCGTTGAGCGACGTTTCGATGTAGCAAATAAACCAGAAGTTGTCATCCATAAAGTTGTATGTTTCATTTGCTGACTCATCAACTTCTAGAATGCCGATCAAACACTGAAAAACTATTTTGCATTTTGGCTGCTGTAATGGCCATCCTAATATTCGGGTTCGAACCCCATGAACACTATGGGGGTATATCATTAGTGGAACTTGTCTGTGAGAGTTCAGTTCATTGAAGCAATGTTCTCTGTAGTAGGGAAATCACGTGAACCTGTTAATGTCGGAAGTAAACTCAGCGACCCCGAAGTTGTGAGTTGATATTGCTTCCCGATTTAGTACAATCAATGTTGGCAAAAGGTGCGAGTGGATTCTACTTTCCCTATCTAAATCAGATGATTCACTATAATTCTGCATAATGACATATATTTGCGACAGTTTTGATTGTACAAACTGCATGTTCCAAAGGGTCGAGGAATTCCCGGTTCGAATGGTTTTATAACGGAAGAATCCTGGGATTTAGCTGATTTTGGAAGATGAATCAACGCTGGCAAAGGGGGGTAAGTGGATTCTACTTCCGGTATATACTATATATAGTTCACTGTAATTCTGCATAATGACATATATATTAGGGCTGCGCAATATAACCGGTTTACCGGTATTTACCGGTTCAGACATGAACACGATACGTATTGCGATACGCTGATCGAAAACCGGTATTTTGACATGCATTCGGAAAACTTCGTAACACTCGGAAATCTTCGGATATTTCCGTTTTTTTAAATTGTTCCTTTCCTTGTTTCATTTGTGCCAATCATTATTTACATTTTTATTTTGTCATGATTAAAAGTTTTTATTAACGCCTAATCAAGCATTGTGATTGTGTTGCGTTTTTGCTTTATAAATTAAGCATTAGCTCGATTATACGTATTTTTGGTTAAAGAATATATATGCGACATGTTTGATTGTACAAGCTGCATGTTCCAAATGGTCGAGGGATTCCCGGCTCAGGCAACTGCAACAACCACAACCTGACATCCTGAACGTTAAGTCAGGTGAGCCCAAATACCTAGAATGTACCTGATAGTGAAAAGCAACAAGCCGAACATGGCCATTGTTGTAACATTATTATGGATACTCAATAGTAAATTGATTACATCCGGCGTGCATCGTCTCAGACAGAACGATTGGAGTGATTGTGTTTCATCTTTCACTGTAGTTCATTTTTTCATATAGAACAAACCTAATCATTCTTTCTTCCCCCGCCCATGCCCGGATCACACGTCAACTTCTTTTTGGGATTCTGATGTTATTATCAGGAGAAGACTACTCTATTTAGCTAATCCAATTACCCCCCTTTACCTTCACAATTTGCTCTAAATACATCGACTCAGAGACTGCCGCGTTACAAAAACCAGTAAGTCTAGAAGAACCTTGAAGGTCATTGGCATGCCTTCTGTGTCACTGTATTTTATTGGCGACGCATTGTATTTCAATTGCTTCACAAACTTGGTCAAATTCAAAATGCTTAAACGGGTGAGCTTGAATGTTCATGTTTGAAGCAAAGTTGCCATTGATTGACGTCAAACGTTTGCAATTACCCACACGTAGACTACATTTTGACAGTTGCCGCTGACTGCGCTTGTCTACAGTGGCCATAGATTGGGTAGGAACATGTAGACGAAGATTTGCCTCGTATTCTCTTTAAACGTCTACAGTTCCTGAAGATTTGGCAAAAGCGCTGACAACCCCCATGAGGATTTCAGGGAATGCATGACCTTAAACATCTAATGTTCCTGAAAATCGACATAAAATGTCTCCGGTTACTGCTAATTGGACTTGAAGGTCTACAGTTGCTGCATTTGTTTCCTTATTTGTCTACAGTTGCTGCAGATTGGGTTTTCATATATATATAATTCAGCAGTTCCTAAGAGCTGCTTATAAATATCTGGATTAGCTGAAGATGGACATTGATTAAATATCTGCAGTTGCTGCACGTTAGTCTCAAACGTCTACAGTTGCTGCAGCTACATTTGCCGCCGATTGTTTTGACTTTAGTTGCTGAATATCCCTCTTGATGTCGAAATATGCTACAGGATGAGCTTCAACGCCTTTAGTGGCTAGTTGTACGTCAATATTTGCTGCAGATCCTTAAATGTCTATTGTTGCTGTAGATCGACCATTAACGTCTACAGCCTTCTTTAGTTGCTGCAAATTGCGCTTTAAGTTCTACAGTCGCTGCAGATTGTGAGTACATATGTAATTATATAGTTGCTGAAAATTGTCTTTTAATGTCTATCGTGGCTGCAGACAGACACTACAGGTCCACAGTTGCTGTTGATCGTAACGTCTACATTTACTGTTTGACCTTATACTTTGACTCAATTTAACGATTTGGTCGGTATATCTATTTCCATAGTTCCAGAAATATCTACAGTTCCGTTTAGTGCCTACAGTTGCTGCGGACTGAACTTAATGTCGCTGCATTCGTGTTGACTTTTCCAAACATAATGACTGCATGTTTTACAGATCTTAATCTGCACACGTTCAGTTTTCACTATAGCCGCGCATTAACGAAGTGAAATTGTTTTGTTTTTCAGCACCAAATACTAGACAGAGATTACAGTGAAACCTGCCAACACTGGCACCTGTCTCAGTACGCTAGATTGAGAGATTGACGTGTGTAAATGGCAGCAATGTTGGAAAATGATCGTCACTGTCTAATCCAGCACCCTGTCTAAACCGGCATTATATTTCGGTCCCGTGGGGTGCCGGTTTACACAGGTTTGTTTGAATATTTGGCATTCCTCCTACACTCAAGAGACACCTACACTCAAGAGACACGCAAAATAAGTTCCAGGAACATTTGCGCTAACAATTTACAGAAAGCTTCAGTCAACAGATGCGAAAAGCGTCGAAGAAGCTGGTCTGATTCCACACATGAGTGCATGTGTGCGGACAATGACTCCCGCCGTGATATTGCTGGAATATTGCTAAAGGTGACGTAAAATCATACTCACTCACGTACTCACTTAACAGATGCGAAACCGTTTCTTCAGGCTCCGGTAAGGTTGGCTCAGAGAACACGGTTCTAATGGTTGCCGCTAAATCAGAAAACTGCTTCATATTTTGTGTGAGGATAATGACTGAATAATGTGGAATGCAACTCCTTCCATGCATACACACTTGATCAGCACTCTGGTGACTACACGTAACACGTGTCCCTCATGGGGAGACTACACGTAACACGTGTCTCTCATTGGGAGACTACACGTAACACGTGTCCCTCATTGGGAGACAACTGATTTACAGACCTAGCATCATCTTTGCAGGTGATTCCGGGGGAATCCAGAAGAGGATGAGGGTGATGGAGGTGAGGAGGACGCACGGCAGGATCAGGATGTAGTTGTACAGGGTGGCTCGTCTCTGGAAGATCAGGGTGAAGGTCAGGTCCACATAGGGCTCAGGGCAGCAGCTGTAGAACTTGACGTTGCGTTTAGCAGGGACATCGATGATAGTCCAGGCGTTGCTTGTCACGTACTCAGTAAGATCTATATAGTCTTTTTCTTCGTTGAAATGAACTTCGAGCTTGTTACCGTCATAGGTCCAGGAACCAAATTTCAAATCACACGATTGAACATCAAATGGAAAGGTTGTAACGTCGATCAAACAGGAGCTGCGGTACACCGCCTGGGGCATCCACAGGACTCGGCCATCGTTGTGGAACACACACAGCACCGTCCGCTGTTCTTGCAGGCGATAGTCAGCGCTAGATGCAAAGACAATACAAATAGTCAGACTCTACAGATTGGTAGAGTATTGGATGAGTTGGTGGATGGATGGAATGATGGATGGAATGATGGATGGATGGAATGATGGATGGATGGATGGATGGATGGATGGATGGATGGATGGAATGATGATGGATGGATGGATGGAATGATGGATGGATGGATGGAATGATGGATGGATGGATGGATGGATGGAATGATGGATGGATGGATGGAATGATGGATGGATGGATGGGATGGATGGATGGATGGATGGATGGATGGAATGATGGATGGATGGATGGATGGAATGGATGGATGGATGGATGGATGGATGGTGGATGGATGGATGGATGGATGGATGGATGGATGGATGGATGATGGATGGATTGGATAGATGGATGGTGGATGGATGGATGATGGATGGATGGATGATGGAGGATGGATATAACCATATATCTGCCATTTTCCCTGCCTTACTCCCCCAACAAGATGTGCGAAACTTCTTGCAACAGAACAATGTCGAGACACTGGGAGAGAGAAACATCAGCAACAGATGATGAAACCTAATCTTCCCTTCCTGAGCATGTCGGGGACTCTCTTGTTAGATTCTTAACATGAAGTCTGCATAGTGTCAGAGTGATTTGTTACCCTAACACGAACACAGCCGTTCATATGAATATAACATGATAAGTGACCGAGACACACTTGTATGTACATTACCATTTAGCATTTTACAAGCGAGATACATGTCCCTGAAACAAAAGCTGCACATCCTTTCAATAACACATTGACTTTGGAAGTTACTTTTGTTAGGTAATGTCTGTGCCAGTCGTTTGTTAATAGTATATATGTTAAACACAATATCCTGGATGGTACACAGAAAAGTTATCCATGATCTAATTCAGTATTGGGAGGTAGGTTCCAGGGAGGTAACCCCTCACAGTTAAAGGTGTACGGTATGACTTACTAGTTATAAAGCTTTATATCCGGCAACCAGACTTTGTTCCAGGGAATGCGCACCTTGTCGACGCCTCCATATTCGGTCACGTTCCACGTTGCCTGTTCATCTTTCCACCACTGGAATCAAGGACCATCACTGATACGTATGTTAATGCTATGATATATCTCAACATTCTGCGTCAAGAACGGACATAAACACATGTATATTAGACAATAATACCTTATCTCTCAGTCTTAGGGGGACGGTCTCAGGCACTGGTATATGCAGTTATACTATTTCATATCTCCCCATTCAGGGTGACACTAAGATAGTGTTATAAAATCTCTCAGCAATGGTTTACGGTTATAGACAGAGGTGTATGTAATAATATCTCTTATTTTATGAGGTGAGGTGAAATTGGGTTTAACGTCGTGCTTGAGAATATTTCGCTCATATGACGACTTGCATGCGTGTGTATGTGTATGGGCGGCTGCTTGTACTAGCCCAGACTGAAGCTGGTTTTATAGTGCTAGCCCACTGAGATGCCATGTCGCAGTGAAGCATGAATATCCCACTCAGACACATTATTCTGACTCCGAGCCGACCAGTCCTTGTTGTACCCATTAATGCCGAGCGCCAGGCATGTACCATATTTTAACGTCTTTTGGTATGACGCGGTCGGGGATCGAGCCCGCGACCTTCCGCTCTCCGGGCGGACGCTCTAACCACTACACCACGGAGGCGGTCCTTATTTTATGAAGGTGATGGGGTGCATGTAGTGTTATAATACGTCATATTTCAGCCTTGACAGCAATGTACAACTACTGATAGTTATATATCATCTTTCAGCATTGGATATTTAATACGAGCAGCGACAGCGGTATGTATTGTGTATTGGCCATACAGCCAAGTTACATTCAAACACTTAATTCAGTAGAATTACAGACAGACAGTAAACCGGACAATAAAGGAGCGATACTGCAGTGTTGGTGAACTAGAAACTGGAGCACAGTTCTCATACCAATGTTCCAACGCCGTAAAGTAACATATACAACACAATAACCACCATGGTCCGTACACCACCAAATATTCCAGGGACATTATACTATCAAAAGTACTATGGATCTTTTAAACCATCCCTACCATAGACCTGATAAGGACAAACTTTATCGATGAATAATTTCTTTATTCAGATGATGCGACGTTTCCATACAGATTCTTGTATTGCTGTCAAGCAGGTATGAAACATGTAGAAAACAGGATAAATAGTTTGTCGTTATCTGACTCTCCAATTTCTAAATTTGTCACTCAAAGAAGTTACCATAGACCTTACACTTTTACAACAGGTACCACCATAAATACCACGCACTTTACTCCACCTTAGATATCTACGAATCTTATGTCACCATGACTACCACAGGCCCTACTCCACCATAAATACCACAAACCTTACTCTGTCATCAACACCACGGACCTTACTGTGCCATTATTCCACAAACCTTACTCTGCCATCAACACCACAAACCTTACTCTGCCATCAATACCACGGACCTTACTGTGCCATCAATACCACAAACCTTACTCTGCCATCAACACCACAAACCTTACTCTGCCATCAACACCACAAACCTTACTCTGCCATCAATACCACGGACCTTACTTCACCATCAACACCACGGCCCTCACTCTGCAATCAACACCACGGATCTTACTCTGCCATCTACACTACGGTCCTTACTGTGCCATCAATACCACGGACCTTACTGTGCCATCAAAACCACGGACCTTACTTCACCATCAATACCACGGACCTTACTTCACCATCTACACCCCGGTCCTTACTCTGCCATCAATACCACGGACCTTACTCTGCCATCAATACCGCGGACCTTACTTCACCATCTACACCACGGTCATTACTCTGCCATCAACAACACGGACCTTACTTCACCATCTACACCACGGACCTTACTCTGCCATCAACACCACGGACCTTACTTCACCGTCAACACCACGGACCTTACTTCACCATCAACACCACGGACCACCACGGACCTTACTGCCATCAACACCACGGACCTTACTCTGCCATCAACACCACGGACCTTTACTTGCCATCAACACCACGGACCGTACTGCCATCAACAGACGGACTTTACTCTGCCATCAACATGTACCACGGACCTTTGTCGTTATCTGACTGCCGGATTTCTTAATTCACCATCACCACCACGGACCTTACTAGACATCAACACTTTACGGACCAGGTACCACCATCAATACCACGCACCTTACCCCACCAGATACACCACTCTTATGTCACCATCACTACCACGGACCTTACTCCACCATAAATACCACAAACCTTACTCTGCCATCAACACCACGGACCTTTTACTCTGCCATTCAACACCACAAACCTTACTCTGCCATCAACACCACGGACCTTACTCTGCCATCAATACCACGGACCTTACTGTGCCATCAATACCACGGACCTTACTCTGCCATCAACACCACAAACCTTACTCTGCCATCAACACCACAAACCTTACTCTGCCATCAACACCACGGACCTTACTTCACCATCAACACCACGGACCTTACTCTGCCATCAACACCACGGACCTTACTTCACCTGCCTACACCACGGACCTTACTCTGCCATCAACACCACGGACCTTACTCTGCCATCAATACCACGGACCTTACTTCACCATCAACACCACGGACCTTACTTCACCATCTACACTACGGACCTTACTTCCATCAACACCACACGGACCTTACTCTGCCATCAACACCACGGACCTTACTTCACCATCAACACCACGGACCTTACTTCACCTACATCACCATCTACACCACGGTCATTACTCTGCCATCAACAACACGGACCTTACTTCACCATCTACACCACGGACCTTACTCTGCCATCAACACCACGGACCTTACTTCACCATCAACACCACGGACCTTACTTCACCATCAACACCACGGACCTTACTCTGCCATCAACACCACGGACCTTACTCTGCCATCAACACCACGGACCTTACTTTGCCATCAACACCACGGACCGTACTCCATACAGATTCTTGTATTGCTGTCAAGCAGGTATGAAACATGTAGAAAACAGGATAAATAGTTTGTCGTTATCTGACTCTCCAATTTCTAAATTTGTCACTCAAAGAAGTTACCATAGACCTTACACTTTACAACAGGTACCACCATAAATACCACGCACTTTACCCCACCTTAGATATCTACGAATCTTATGTCACCATGACTACCACAGGCCCTACTCCACCATAAATACCACAAACCTTACTCTGTCATCAACACCACGGACCTTACTGCGCCATTATACCACAAACCTTACTCTGCCATCAACACCACAAACCTTACTCTGCCATCAATACCACGGACCTTACTGTGCCATCAATACCACGGACCTTACTCTGCCATCAACACCACAAACCTTACTCTGCCATCAACACCACAAACCTTACTCTGCCATCAACACCACAGACCTTACTCTGCCATCAACACCACGGACCTTACTTCACCGTCAACACCACGGACCTTACTTCACCATCAATACCACGGACCTTACTCTGCCATCAACACCACGGACCTTACTCTGCCATCAACACCACAAACCTTACTCTGCCATCTACACCACAAACCTTACTCTGCCATCAACACCACGGACCTAACTTCACCGTCAACACCACGGACCTTACTTCACCATCAATACCACGGACCTTACTCTGCCATCAACACCACGGACCTTACTCTGCCATCAAAACCACGGACCTTACTTCACCATCAATACCACGGACCTTACTTCACCATCTACACTACGGACCTTACTCTGCCATCAACACCACGGACCTTACTCTGCCATCAATACCACGGACCTTACTTCACCATCTACACTACGGACCTTATACGGACCTCCATCATACATCCACTACCTTACACAACCATGAACACCACAGGCATATACCACCAAAGTCACGTGTAACATGCCGTGGCTCACGAGCAAGATCAGGTAAACTTCTCACAGATTCTTTATGGAAATACTACAAATTATGCATTTGAGCAAGTCTTGCTTCTTATTTGTATGTCCGTCATATCACGATGAACGAGGTGAATATATTCCTCCGATTAGTACCAAAAACATAAATGACAACCAATGACATGCGTACATTGGGCAATCTTTCAATGTCATCCAGAATCGAAAATGATAAAAATCGTCTCTCGTGTTCAATGAATTGTATGATATGCGCCTGCCGCCTCTAAATGTTGATTTTAATATTGATTGCCTGGTTTATGAGACTATTTGCACTCTGTTCCCTTTCTTGCAACAGAGATCTGAATATGAATATCTTAAGGCCTATAAATGTTGCTCGCAGACGAGGCTGTTAAACTCCAAAGGGTTTGATGTCTCTCAAAGTGTATTTCTATTGGAAAGAGGCAGGAAATGCGACTCTGTTTTTCACACACGTAAGCGCATCATCCCGAGTCTGGATGCAGGTATTAGCATCATGTAGATTTTTTGTTTTGGTAGAGTTTGCATGGAAATGTATCCACAGCCATCCAGTCTATCTAAAAAAATATAACCCTCACATATATGTTATATCAGTGTTATGTTTTGGTGATTTATGTATGCTAAATGTTTTCACCAGTCTATCAAAAAAAACTAGCCCTGAAAAGTATACGATGCAACAGTGTTATGTTTTGGTAGTTTATGATTTGAACGACATGAGAGTGAAGGATCCACTACTGTAAAGCATGTTGGTCACATCTGGTATGTACATGAATTCAGTCAGTCAGTACATTGGCTCTACGCTTCATGTGTTACTCACGAAGGTAAGTATACCAGCCCACTTCTTACCTAACACGTGTTGATGTACACTCATATCTGGCTCCCTATTAATTTGTTCCGCCAGATGATGTTTTCCACTTTACTGGTACAAGAAATGAAATGACAAGAAATTGTCGGATTATAAGAACCAACATACCTGCCTCTATACAAGAAGCTATGTACTTTACAGCTCTAACTAGATTTATTAGACGATTACCAGTGATAATAAGTGACGAGATATCTAATTGTATATGCAAATTACCTTTAGCATAAAGGTTAAGTTCAAATTCAAAAGGTCAGTGCCAGAGAATGTTCTTGCTTATATGCCAAAAATGATTCCTCTGGGGGCAAAAAGAACAGTGATGGGAGTTATTAATGTTATGTCAACAGTAACGTATCACCGCTTCCCGCACAGCTCTTTCATGCTAGAACGTACATGTCATCATACTATAGCTTGTATATCTGTAAGTAGGCGCCATTTATAATTTAGTTATATGCCATTATGTTTGAGCTGTCACTACCACATATGTAATCATCACTTGTATCGCATCCCTTGATATCATCGCATTCATATCCTCAGTTTCACTCACAAATCATCACTTGTATCGCATCCCTTGATATCATCGCATACATATCCTCAGTTTTACTCACAAATCATCACTTCGAACATCTCTTTCATGTTATAAATGATGCATATATATTTATACGCTATCACTAGCATGTCATCACTGAATGCCATCAGTGGTATGTCATCCCTCCCTCATGTCATCACTGAATGCCGTCAGTGGTATGTCATCCCTCATGTCATCACTGAATGCCATCAGTGGTATGTCATTCCTCCCTCATGTCATCACTGAATGCCGTCAGTGGTATGTCATCCCTCATGTCATCACTGAATGCCGTCAGTGGTATGCCATCCCTCATGTCATCACTGAATGCCGTCAGTGGTATTTCATCCCTCCCTCATGTCATCACTGAATGCCGTCAGTGGTATGTCATCCCTCATGTCATCACTGAATGCGTCAGTGGTATGTCATCCCTCATGTCATCACTGAATGCCGTCAGTGGTATGTCATCCCTCCCTCATGTCATCACTGAATGCCGTCAGTGGTATGTCATCTCTCATGTCATCACTGAATGCGTCAGTGGTATGTCATCCCTCATGTCATCACTGAATGCCGTCAGTGGTATGTCATCCCTCATGTCATCACTGAATGCCGTCAGTGGTATGTCATCCCTCATGTCATCACTGAATGCCGTCAGTGGTATGCCATCCCTCCCTCATGTCATCACTGAATGCCGTCAGTGGTATGTCATCCCTCCCTCATGTCATCACTGAATGCCGTCAGTGGTATGTCATCCCTCCCTCATGTCATCACTGAATGCCGTCAGTGGTATGTCATCCCTCATGTCATCACTGAATGCCGTCAGTGGTATGTCATCCCTCCCTCATGTCATCACTGAATGCCGACAGTGGTGTGCCATCCCTCATGTCATCACTGAATGCCGTCAGTGGTATGTCATCTCTCATGTCATCACTGAATGCCGTCAGTGGTATGTCATCTCTCATGTCATCACGTGTATGTCACCACATATATCGCGAAAGTTACATGTGTTATATGTGTATCATACTTACATGCTATGATGAGCATATCACCTAATGGTGATAACTATATGAACTGGCATGACCCATATGTCACATCTAGCATATTACTACCTTAAGTTGAGCATACTCTAACGCCTATACTTTGTTGTCTGGTGTGTACATTTCCAACTTTTTACAATCTAGCATATACTGTCTCTTTTCTTTCTCAAAAGATTTTTAATCAAAATTAGCACATTCAAAGCTTCAGTAAAGCTTCCATAACGTTTCATGCTAGACATGTGGAGGACATTTCCCAGTTTGACGAGTCAGTGAAAATAAATATGCCCGATAGCCTGTAGCAATAGCCTGTTTTAATTTATATCACATATTCCTGATTTTTTTCATAAGTCATTTTACTTGCATTTTTTCCTTGCACGTGTGTGTAATTGGCACCACCAAGGGTGCAGGATACGCAGAGTGCTCACCTTTTTCTCGAACACGTGGTATTATCGTAATTTGATACTTGGGATGCAGCTAACAAGTATGCGTTTAGCAGAGATTTCTTAAGAAAATGGTTTGTCGCTACCGTTTGTATCGTTTTGCTTTTATACTTCATTACTTGTGTGTCACTAACGGGTTCGCCTGTGTGTGTGTGTGTATATATTTGACACTTGTGTGACAACTTATAGTGAACCCAGTGTATCTGATCCTGTGTATGTCCTCAGTTAACACTAGCATATCATCATATACCAACAGTTCATCTAAGTCATCACTTATACATTGCCGGGGAAATGTACATTTCGATGGCCAAGCATCATACTATAGCAATGAACATGAGTCTCCTCTTGTTGAAGCTAACTGCATCCTGAGATACATCATAATTTTATAATGATAACCCAACAACTCGGTCATTCATTTCGTTCTGATGATATTTTTTGTTTGATAGAAGTCCACAGAACTAAAACCTCATGCCGCGGTCTTATGAAGGAGTACTGCTGTTATACAAACTGTGCCAGTGTTGATGCTCCCGGCTAGGCAGGATATGCTTATCCTATCCACGAACACCTTGTGGCATCACTGATCATTAATTATCCATGTATGTACTGTTCCTTTTGCGCCCACAAGAGCCTGTTTTGGCACATAGTCGAGGCTGGATATTCCCTGACGTTTGTAGGTGTGTTTTTTTAATGTTTGTTTTTATCTTTATTTGTTTTATTTTGGTCATACATTACAATGTTATTATCATACTAATGAAGGAAATAGCGCAAATAAACTCAGTTACAACCTGAATATTAAGTAGCAAACTATAAAAAGTTTTTAAGAACATGGTCTTTAATATAGTATTGGTCCACATACCCCTGGCATCTATAGGATATATTCTGGTCGCCGTTATACCCTTTGTATTTAGTATAAACACTGTATATATAGTTCCTAAACTACTTGCAAAATTGAAACCCTGACCCAATATATAGAGATTATATATATATTGGGCTAGGGTCTCAATCTTACAACTATTTTAGAAACTTGATATTTCGGGGTAGAGCCTCAACCCTTCTGGTATTTTGATCTTTCACACCTGTTGCCAGTGCAAAACATGTGTAGCTCTGGAAGGTCGGTTACACACAAGGTTTCTGCGTTGCTTCAAGTTCCAGCAAAGCGGTTAGTTACAAACTGTCTTTGTGTTTCATTCATTCAAATGTGACCCTATCAAATCCGTTCTGTTTGTTGTCAGTGCCTCAAATCATTATATGGATGTGCACTTTTTGTTGAGTGCCAGTTCCTCAACAGATGTGCAGTTTCAGTTCCTCAACTTATCATGTATGTAACCTGGAGATTGTTGGCATGTACTGTCAGTGGGTCCAGCCTACACACATGTATACATAGTAATTCCGAGATATCTTGGTATCAATTCCTCAGCAGTGCCTTCAAACGTAGATCCTGTATGCTCACTGGCAACACCTTAGACCAATTATAGATAATTATAGACACACATGCACACACACACACACACACAGAGATACACAAACACAAACACATACATACATACATACAGACAGACAGACAGACAGATACAGACAGACAGACAGACATACAGACAGACAGACATGCATGCATGCATGCATGCATGCATGACAGACAGACAGACATATTGTCTGTTTCAGTCATCCTGTTTGTACTTACATATACGTCCCACACGTTCAGCGTCAGTATCTGATCTTGTTCGTTCAAGTCCATGATCTGCGTCAGTTGTATACCAAACCAAAGCTTCAGGGTGTCGTTGAAATGCCGAACTGGACGACTGTATTTTCCACGTACACGATACTTGTGCAGGATCTGCTTCACAAGCTGGTCTTCGTAGGAGAGCGTGTCACTTCCACGATTACCGCTGGAAGTAGCTGGGGAGGAAGAAACAAGAAAAACAATTATTTCATATATTTGTCAGCAACGAGATTTCATATTTATCCCTCGTCCCTCTCGAACTGCCTGCGGAACGTTGCGATATGGCTTTAGTTATTTAGTTATTCACTAGAACACTCAAGATCCTACTTTGAAAGAAACACACACCGTGCTGTAAAACATTCTACATGTCAGTTGGAGACTTTCAGGTTTTTCAATCATTGTGTAAGAACATTCATTGAGGATAGTAGTGACACTGGAACTGTGTAGATCCGTTTGAGATCCTTCGTAAGCTTCACACAGCCGGTTAAGTGGGGAAAAGGTGTGTGGCGTGAAATGTATAGTGTTAAAAGCATAAAGAAAACTAGAAGAACTGTTTACGCAGATAAGACTACTCCTGTCGTGTAATAATAGTATGAATCTATGGTTCAAGTTGAAAGAGACTTGACTGCCAGTGACATTTCATAACTAAATGTCACGGAATGCATGAAACTGTACTGCTACTGTAATATCATGACTCAGTGAGTGAGTTTGTAAGTACATCATAGCATCCCTCAGACAATATTCTAGCTATTCTATACACAACCTGAAACAAACATATTCAGGTAACCTCTGATTCAAAACATGAACAACGTCCCATGCAATCGGAACGTGACTGCTCAAAACACAGCAAAATGACAGGATAATGACGCTTGATTGTATTCCTTAATACCTGCAGCCACCATTAGGGGGATGCAGACCTTTAACCCGTGTCCGGCTGCAGGGGACAAATGCTCTCAGGGATCTTCATCATGGAGACGTGAGAGAGTTGTTGCATGAACACTGTGTGAGTGGCGGATGTAGAGCGTTTCTTTTCATTTCGCGAACACCTGGTGTCATCACTATTCAATAATGATTCTGAAACACGTGTCCATGATGATGTTTTGAAGTATAAACAAGCTTCACCTTTCAAATGATAGGAAAAAGGCCCTTGATAGTTCTTCCATAAACTTAAAGAACATATGTTGTGATTCCTTGATGTAATTTTAGTCACACTGGCAGATATTCGAGAGAGCAGTCTCTGGTTTTGACACTTTTGAAGCTGAGTGTAGTAATGTGTGCGTTGTATGATAAGGAGTACATACTGTGTGTGTCACATCGATTATAGGGTATTGAAGAATAGACAGTGTATATATTACAGTTAGGATATGACATGGAGGAACGTTTAATAAGTGCATATATATGAACTGTACTAAGAAGTGTATATATATATATATATATGTGTGTGTGTATATGTGTATATATGTATATATATGTGTGTATATGTGTATATATATATATATGTGTGTGTATATATGTGTATATATATATATATATATACATATGTGTGTGTGTGTATATGTGTATATATATATGTATATATATATGGTGTGTATTTATATGTGTGTATATATATATGTATATATGTATATATATATATATGTATATATAGGTGTATATATATATATATGTGTGTGTCTGTATATATATATATGTGTGTGTGTGTGTGTGTGTGTGTGTGTGTATAATTATCTCAACATTGTGAATGTATATTACATGAGATAAAATTATTTTTAAAATTTAAGAAAAATACAATGTTGTAAATTCTGAGGAGCAAACGAAACTATACCTCATGATGGATTATTTTTTATATGAAATATGAAATTAGCGTGATCATATCCAAAAATGAACTGTCAGCACTCAGTTTATTTTGTCAACTATATCTGAATGTAAAATTTTAAAACATTCGCATAATATACAACCGCTGGAAGAGTTTATCAGAGATATTGGCACAAATGTACAATACTTCAGCCATGGTAGTGGACAAGTGGCTACAATTCATTTGTTTCCAAAGTCTGCATTGAACCAATGTATTTTTACACACTATTTAGCCAGCCTCGTGTTTTTTACAAAGTGTTTCAGGAATGAGTAATTGCTAGGTCGATATAATCAAATTTGGCAACAGATCTTTCATAAAAAATATAAGTATCCTCTCTTTGGCTCTCCAGGTTATATACCAAGTGACGGCATAATTATTTCAGAAATCGTCAATAAATATGTGTACTCCAGTTCATAACGTTCGCAGTCGTTTTTTGTAAATTATAACAGAGTTGCTTTGGCAGTTTGAGAAAGAATCTTCCCGGGGTGGAATTTAAATGGAAAGAAAGGGTCTTATCTCAACCACGATTATTCCAGAAATGAAAGTCGGCTTGTTAATGAGATCGTTAATAATTTCTCCCAATCAGCATCTACAGATGACTTGTTTGAGTGGCATTTTAGAAGTTGTGACGTATAATATAGAACAATGTTTTTCTGGATAACAACTTCTTTATTTCGTCAGTGCGACGTTTCGGTACAGATTCTTGTACCGTTGTCAAGCAAGAGTGATGAGCGTTGACAAATATAATTTAGTGATGATTTTCAGCAATATGTATCATTATACCACAGTACATGATTACTGAGTGCACATAATGTCTGACATGGCGTGATGAGGAAACTTTTAGGGACGTTGTAAGTGTCATGTACAATCAAAGTGAGTGAGTGAGTTAAAGCTGCTTTCACTTACATCACCGCATGTCGACTTGATGTAGATGAAAGCCTGAAGGGATGCACGAACTGATAGACATTCACCTCATTCATGAAACCTATGAGTATGGATATGGTCAAGACAAACCAAGACATTGATCATTGTGATTCTGGGATCCGAAACCATGATCGTTTGTTTCCTACAACATCTAAGGGACGCAACTGTGCAGAGCTATACGCCGTCTGCGTCCCCGCATCAAATTGTAAGCCTACCTAGTGTGTGATACTAAGCGAAGAATGGTTAAAACTTACTGATTAATGACAGCACCACAACCGCCAGGCAGTAGATGGCATGGTGCACGTCCATGTTGCTTCCTCCGGCTTGTTTCTGAAAAACAGACATTTACTGGTGAGTGAATCTATCAAATCTCTGATAAACAATTAAATCTGTTACATTAGAAATAACTTCCTTTCATATTCATATTTTTCTTTCTACTAAATTAGCAATAAACTGCAGTGTTTGTTGAGTAGCGACTGAAGACAAAGAGGTAGTATTGCACGCCCTTCAAACATCTCAAGTGGTCTCACGTGCTGCATCGCAGAGGCTCCATCGGAACATCCCACGTACCTGTAGTTCTAGTCTCAATGCAACATTTTACCTCGAACACCTCACATACCCCAAATCACATTCACAGACAGACATCTCCTTCGAACAGCAGCTACACTCCCAAACTCCCAACCTTTACACAGACCAGACTTACTAGCCCCCAGCCACAATCAATGACCATCATCCCTTTGAAATTTGAACTTTGTGAAATAGTCCATCAGACTTAGATCACACTTTAACACCTTATATATTTTCTGTAACTGGCATTTAGAAGCTGTTATGTTGAAGAGGAATATGTTTTATGGTTAGACAACCTCTTTATTGCAATAGATTTCGGTGTAATATGTTAACACCGTTATCAAGCAAGTGATACTAAAGTAATGTGAAAGTAGTGTGTTTATTTCAGAGTGCAATGAAACAGTCGGTGTCAATAATGAGAACATTAAACGCCTTTTGGTTGAAAAAGAACATTCAACAAGGCATAGAGAGATTCATCGAGACAAGAGGAGATTACACTTTGAGCCAGTGTAAACTATACAGCTCGGGGGAATTTGCACAGACCGCTATATCATAAGCAGTAGAAATGTAAGCAGACCCACCCCGGCCATTCTACATAAGACAGAAGGTTAACATTTATATACATCGGAAGCTACATGTGCATACGTGATGTTAAACACATCTACACAGAACACTGGAGATTAAATACGGGGATGTAGTTTTACATGAAATGGCGGGATAGATTGGAAGGATGAATATATGTACATAAGACACCGCAGGACAAACAAGGGGTGGAGGCGTGTATGTATACACATGGCACTGTATTAAAGACAGGGGATAGAAGCATTCATACACATGGTACTGCAGGAGAGATTTTCATGGGTATGGACGCAATTATACATCGATAGACATGGAGGATAAACACATATATACACAGAAAACTACAAAAAAAGACAGGGACAGCAACATATACATATATAGAACACCACATTAGAAACAGTGACAGTAACAAATATACTGAACCGCAAAAGAAACGCAAGTTGATTTAGAAATGTCAATATTTCTGAATCTGTGGAACAAACAATCTTAACACTACGAAAAAACAACAGACAAGTGATTGTTGAAGAAATGAGTCGTGATCTCCGGTGAAAACAACACTCAAGTTTACTGTAAAAGCATATGTTATCACTCCACCCTCACACACCAAAAAATGTCACGAAACAGTGTGTCAATCAGTAGCGCGTGTGACCACCATTGGCTGCAATGCAGGCAGCACAACGACGTCTCATCGAGTCAACAAGTGTCTGAAAGAAGGCTTGGGGAATTTGATTCCATTCCCTGACCAATATGGCTTCCAAATCTCTAAGGTTTTGAGGTTGAGCAGCTGTCTGTATCCGTCTACCAATTTCATCCCACACATGCTCGATTGGTGCCATATCCGGGGACAGAGAGGGCCAGGGCAGTACAGCAATGTTGTTCCCTCAGAGGAAGTCCATAGAGATCCGTGCAGTGTGAGAACGAGCATTGTCCTGCTGGAACGTCTGGAGCTGAGGTTGGACCTGGAAGAGCGGTACAACGTGTAGTTGAAAGACCTGGTCTCTGTAGACTACAGCAGTCACACGTTGACGAAACACGTGTAAACGTGTTCTGTGGTGGTAGCTGAAGCCACCCCATACCATGAGTCTTCCACCTCCCCAGCGGTTAGGTTCCACAACACAACAGTTGGCGTAACGTTCATTACGTCGTCTCCATACACTTAATCGTTGAATCTGGACTCATCAGAAAACAACACTTGTTGCCATTGTTGACGTCGCCAACGCTGGTGTTGTTGCGCCCACTGTAAACGATTTTGGCGGTGACGTTGCGTCAGAATCGGTCCGACGTAAGGACGGCGACATCTGATCCCTGCTGCCCTCAGACGACGACGAACAGTGACTGCAAAGATGTGACGTTGTGGCCCTTGAATGGTTGCAGCTGTCTGTGTTGCTCGTTGCTGTCGGTTACGCAGATGAGTAACCCGGATGTGACGATCTTGCGCTGGCGTTGTTACCCTGGGACGTCCTGAACGTGGTCGGTCTGGAACATTACCGGTTTGACGATACCTTGCGGATAGTCTTGTGATTGTTGTCACGTGACATCTGAAGTGCCTGGCCACTTTAGTTGGTGTGGATCCGGTCTGCAACATTCCAACGGCGATTCATCGTTGCTGTTCAGTTAGACGTGGCATGTTTTCTCCGCGTTGTCACAGTCAATTTTGTATTCTATGGTGTTTTTTGAACGACCTGCCTTATAAAGCTTCAAACTGGAGTGAAATGCACGCATTTTTGCGTGAAACACAAAAACTTCATGCAAAAAACACGAAAAACATGAAAATGATTGCGTTTGGGCGATATGGTCAAGAATCAGCGGCAACAACGGCAAAACCATCTTCGAATGCTTGGTTCTATAATGGTATACTTTGTTGTCCTAAAAGGAATGCATTTGGAACGTATGTTTTGAAAATAGTAACTTGCGTTTCTTTTGCGGTTCAGTATATATACATAGAACACTACAGAGAGACTAGAAGAATAAACACCTAGATGTAGACAAGCTGTGCCAGAGTGATATTTAGCACACACGCATGCTCTGTAAGTGACTAGACGATCAGTTGTAATATAGAAAAACTACAAATTACTTTACGAGTTAAAAATTAGTTAATAGATTACCATTTACCCTGAGAAGGCACAGCACAGTTCTCGCATCATCACTGCTGTCAACTGTTAGTGATTCATGGCACATAAGCTGATCAGAATCGTACCGTGGACTCTGTTTCAGTAGACATTACTTCTGATTAAGGAAATGGTCTTGTCCCTTCTCCTATATGTTGATTCAATAAAACATCATTTGTTTTTGGAAAGAACAGTATCTTACTTGTGTATGTGTTTTGCACAGAAGTGTGCCATTTGAAAGAAAACGTATTTTAGTTGGTATAACTGGGTAAAAACGGATCACATTACTAGTATATGTTTATATATGTGATATAAAATATATACCCTGTTAAAGAGATGCAGACTGTGTGTGTATGTGTATATGTATGAATATATATATATATATATATGTGTGTGTGTGTGTGCGCGTCTTGTGTTGTGTTCTGCTGTGCTGTGTGTGTTTTTTGTGTGTGTTGTTTTGGGGTGTTTTTTGTGTGTGCGTGTGTGTTGTACACAGAACAATATGCCCTGAGACAATACTGCATTTATCCCGCACTTACATATCCATTGAGATAGAAGCAATTTGCCCTGGAAAGGAACTGCACACAACGTGCATTTATTTAGGTATTAGTAGCAATCAATGCTCCTTCAGAATGGGTTGCACATTATCTGTATGTAGATATTAGCACGGATCAATTTGCCCTGGAAACGAAGTGCACATTACGTCCATTTATATATGAATTAGCCTAGATCAGAGTACACTTGGTTTGAACTACAGAATAACTTGGCATGTAACAGATTTTATTTATCTCAGTTACAGCTTATTTATCTTAGCAGGAAGGGAGGTTATTGGAATATCCCAGCCCACGCACCATTGTAAGCAGTTTCTGTTTTGCACTCTAAATGAACAATGACATAGAAACGAAAAATGTCACATCTGGATGGTAATTGTATTATATGCAAATGAAAAATGCTTAACATGGTGGTTATTTCAGATTTATATGTTAAATACTTCACATTCAAATTAAAAACGAGGTTAATCTTTTAACTAACTAAACATATTCTCCTTCTGTCATTGAATCTGTATAAAGCATGGACTAATGCAGAAACGAGAACGATGATAGAACTACTTGAAGTATTGCAGGCAAGCAGATGGATTAGCTCATAAGGTATTACTGGTCAACAGATGGATTATCTCACACAAAGCATTACAGGTCACGATCAGTATATGGGGTAACTAACACAAAGCATTGCAGATTAGCAGATGGATTAATAAACACAAAATATTACAGGTCACGATGTGCATGTGCGTTAACTCACATAAAGCATTGCAGGGCAGCTGATGGATTAACCCATACACTGTTATATATATGCTAGCAATTGGATTAAATGACACAATGTATAATAGGTTAAGAGATGGATAAACTAAGAAAATGCATCACAGATGGACCAACTAACAATGCATAATGGATTAGATAAATTAACGAGCACTTTGTATTGTAGGTAGCTTTGCATTATCGGAGGTCAGCATGTGGATTACATGACACCATGTGTTACAGGTTCACAGAGAGATTAACCTGCAGGTTATGTTGTTGCTCTAACGTTATATACATACAACATGTATTACAGAGCGGCAGGTATATTAACTAACACAGGGTATTAGTGGTCAGTGCATGCATTCACTACCACACTGGGTTAAAGGTCAACAGATGGATGATCACTCATGCAATTCATTACAGGTTAGAAGACTTACTAAATGATGCAGTGTAAGTATGTATCACCGATGATAATACTTAGTTTAGTCAAATAAGATAAAGAGCATGTGTAGTGAATGTTTACTACCAGAAGCATTAACAGTTACATTGATATTATGACTAACTGACAAAGTATATAAGCATTAACAGTTACATTGATATTATGACTAACTGACAAAGTATATAAGCATTAACAGTTATATTGATATTATGACTAACTGACAAAGTATATAAGCATTAACAGTTACATTGATATGACTAACTGACAAAGTATATAAGGTCAGCAGGTAGGTTAACGTATAAAGGGTTCATGTAAGGTCAGCAGCTGGATTAACTAGTACAATATTCATGAAAAGTAGAATGATTAACTGACAATGTATAAACAGCATAGCGAAATGAATAGTTGATAGAACAATAATTTAGGCTCAACAGTTAGATTAACTCATACAATATTAATCAAAGATTAGCAATTGGATTTACAGATAATGTTTACTGGATGCTAGCATGTGGATTAACTGACACATTGTTATATACAGTAGATTATGGATTAGCTGTCATTGACTATGGTAGGTCAGGGGATGACTAAATAAGGTGTAGATTAAATGCCATTGCCTCCACAACCTATGGTATCTGCTGCCAGATAATCGAGAATGGTTGTTGTCTGGTGATGACGACGATCAACTGGGGCACGTTCCACAACGTTGTGACAAAAATAAACAAATACAAAAGTAAGTTACAGATAACTTACGTCTCTCCAGCGAGTTGTCAGAAGTAGAGTGAAGTATTACCAAGATTGGGCGTACCGTGGGATAGTTAGCTGTGGAATTTATAGCGTTCTCATAGCTAAAATATCATTACGTTAACTGAGTAAAGTGTAAAAAGCGAAAAATCCGAACGACGGTAATATGTTATTTACAGCGAAGGAATGTGCTGGAGTGAAGGTACCCCCTCCATATGATCACCCTCCCCCACATCTCAGTCACCCCCTCACCCGTCTACTACCCTCCCCCGGGGTCCTGATATACCGCTCCTACCTCCACGATTTTCTCTATAAAGGACAGGATACAGCCCGGTTTGAGGATTTTCGAACACTCGGAATATATTATACCTCAAACTTGAGACTATTGACGCGCTCGCTGAGGCCTTTTACGTCAACTAGGTTTGATCGATGAGTTTGTGCCGAAACATAGGCGGCAAAATAATACCGTCCTCTTCCAGGCGACTATTTAAACCGGTGGAAATACTCCAGTAAATGACCAAGACGATCTGACGTATTCCTCCAGATATACTCGTCGTCTCTTGCCATCAAAACACCCTCTGGGTACTCGAAGCAAGCAGATATCTTTGCGAATACTTTCACCTGTGCGAATACATCAATATAGCTAATGACTTAGCAGCGAGAGTTAAGTTTGGTTTGGCCAATATGGAAATCGATCCGTCGCTTTTTCTGCTGTGCACAAGCGGTCTCGCGAGCCAACTTTAAGTTAGCATTAAATAATTGCCACAAAATGAAATTAGTATGTGGCTGAGGATGCGAAACACATGCATGACTCGGGATTGTGTACGGTACCTGAAAGCAGGGTCAGCTACTCGAGAAAACCACCTACATACGAACCTAGATATCGATGCGAGGCAGCGGTCAACTTGAAGAACGTGGGCTTCTTCTGTCTCCACGTGGCGTCAAGGTGTATCCGACTCTCCTGCTACTGGCTCTCCCGCGATTTACCGCCTGGAAACATGTCTCTGAGTGGTGCATATACGTGCCTCCCTTGCTTGGTATTCCAGCGTTCTCTACCTGTTCATTTCTCGCCCGTTCAACATTAGAGTCAGCTGGATAGCGCTTCGCTTCTCTTGCCCAGTGGTGCCGCACCAGCCAACAGTTTCACAAGCGAGCTTATCACAAAACTTTTTCCCTATGCACCTGTGCGCGTCATCAACTGCCAGGCACATGGAGCTATGTGGGAGGGAGAACGAACAACCCAGTACACCCAGCCCCGACGTTGGCCACTGCGCAGGCCGCATTCATTGCCCCCACTCTATCACATATTTATACCCAATCAGCCCGTGCAGCTATCTGTTTATTCAATACAGCATGCAAGTGTTACCACAACCTGCTTTTTCCTATATCGCCACATAAGATATCCCCGTCCACATCGATTTACAGGCTGTAATCTTATATCCAGCTCAAATTACTTCTATGGTATGTGTGGGTATCAGTGGAACTTTAATCATTCAGCTATATTTGGGAGAATACCGCCGCATAATGATTTGTTAAAAAACCGTTCCTTTGTATCATTCTTTATGAAATAATCATTTATGACCAGCTACACGAATATGCCGCTAGAAGATTTTGATTTAACGACTGGTGTGATTTATGAAACTAATGCATTTGGCATGGCTGGTAATAATCTCAACTTAATCGTCCTATTTTCTTTAATTAATTGCTGCGGAAACATTGAATTCCGGTAAATGATCAAGCGGTGCTCGTAATCGCTTGCTTGGTGCACGACGTGTAAAGATAGCTGAAGAGTAGCAGGTGTGACGTATCTCCAACGGTTCGTTTCAGCGCACTCCAACTCAACATGAACACTGAGTCTTCCAAGAGATGATTACTACTCGCTTGAACAATATTGGAGACGTGGAGACTAAGTGGGTTATTGAGACAACACACAGGCTGCATCTACTGACTGTTCTTTGGCTTTGCATATACAGAACATACTTCCAGTCAGGTGTAGCGTCGACAGTATGTGGCGTCGACCGTGGGATTTCATCGACTGGCTCGTCTCTGGTTCTGCTCTGGTTTAGCTCTGGTTTGGCTCTTGGTCAGCTCATCAGGTGCGTTGACCGACTATCACATCCAACGTTGCACTTTGGCATGCTCATTTGTAAATTTGTCTATGGATCAGGTGGTCGTTCCTTACGTGGCTGAACAATGCGTCTTCGGAGAACTAGCCAACGTCTGAGCTCAGGATGTACTGATCTATCACGAAGATACAGCATAGGTCACAACATGCTGACTAGTTCGGGAGTTATGTCGCGGTAAATATTTCATATCCACTGCTCCTGACTACATAGTAAAAGTAACATGATTTGAGGTTTTCATGTATTCAATGTAAAATGTTAACTCAATTATAACTCCATGAGTTTCGACAGCCATCAACTGGGTTTTCTTAAACAGGTTCCCGTTGTCGTCTCTGGCGTTTACTGACAATTTTATTCATTCACACATGTTACAGGTTCAAAGAGACTGTATAGCATTCAACTCAACATGCAGCTATGTTGTACAAGTGTTGACGTTCTAGCATGGCATTTTGTTCCAGGCACAAAAACAAGATTCGAAGATGCCATGCTACATTGTTGCAAGCATACCACCTTCACCCAGGCGTACTGGTAAATTGTATAGATTTCAGAGGTGTTATGGCTGGCCGTGTTAAGTATTGCCACAACGTATTCTCTGGTCACTATGCTCTTCAAAGTATCAGCAATGCAACGGTACCAGAATGTTTTAAAGCCTCAGTGGCATACTGCCGAATGACTAAGTGCTCACCGTGTGATATTCATTTGAAGATATATTATATTTAATGTTAAGGGAGTTGAGGATAATCGTTGGTTATTTGGGGGCAGGTTGGGGTTTTGAATTATCTGTACCTTTAATGCTGGAAAACAGTAAATATTTTTAATCAGTTCCAATAAATATAATTAATCACATGCTGTTTGATAAATGATATGGCCTGAGCCAGAAAAGACTGATAACATAATACATAAACTAACAACATCAACAACAACATTACAAAACCAGAATACTGAAAAGTCAACACCTAAACGTGGATTTCATATCTGCACCCAATTTATTGCTTAGACCTTTCATTTGCATTAGAAGGTGATAGACAGACAAACGTGAACGTATGTGGATTTTGTTCCTTTTTTCAATGATGCCATGGTTAAAAATTGCCCCTTCATGTGAATGAGAGGCCTAATTATATGGAGAGTTATATACACAGTGGTATAGGGAGATCGGGTTAATTAATAAAGACACTGAAAGCATGTATGGGGTAGGGGAGCCAATGGGAGTAATCACTTGGAGGCAATGAGCTGATATTGTTACAGCAGACTAATTAAGCTAAGTGCGCTAACAAAGTAATTAGTCTGAGTAAGGCAGCAACGTTACGTTACGATCCATCTGATAAGAACCTGTCAGTAGGTTACGATAATTGCCAATAACTCAGCCGAGTTTACATTTGTTAGATAGATTCTTTTATCTCTCTTAATGGCTGGTTTCATTTGCATTTTCTTCACATAATGTAGTTTGTTCTTCATAAAGTGGTTGACAGTTATCTCGAGGATTTGTTTTCTTGCCAAAAGGAGATTGTTGATTATGTGTCCAAGAGGGCCCATCTCAACCAAATCAGGGTAACAAAAGTACAATTATGAAAGTTAACTTCATTTAGACAGGAATAACAATATCCACAGGGTCTTAGTACTTCTGCCACAGGATAGGAGACTATTGACAAAATGGAACGACATGTGTAAAAGCCAAACACTACAAACCACCGCCATCATACCAGATGTTCAGGAAATGAGAGTAAGCATCAAGAACACGAAACAGATAGTCATTCGACAAGGAAATAGCTCTCTAACTAACGTATTTTGTGGATTATGCTATCCTCAAATGAGGACATTCAGATGGCTAAGTAACAGACATAGCCTTCGGTCTAGATGGAAGGTAATCGCCAGTACCAGCAAGAGATCGGAAATGACATTGTCACCCAATCGGGACCCATGAAGTCGATACAACGAGTGAAGTAGATTCGCAGTCCACATTCTTGTCATGTAGTAAGTTTTCGAAGGACACGTCGCTTATAAGAGCAAGGTCTGAAATGTCTTTCAACGTTCACCCAAAAAATCCGTTCCAGAGGTCGAACTAGGGTATTAAACATTAAAGATGAATTACAATTAACCCAAGTTCTGTGCGTGCCTTTGGTTGGCAAAGAAGGAACCTCTCAAGCGGGAGAGTCAGAGACGCGTACAAGTATATAGGCTGATGCAGTGTTACAGAGATCAAACGCAATGGTACCTTCGGGAATTTTATGACTGATATTGATTCTTATTCCCAAAAAATTGGTGAATAATGTACAGAAAGTTGATACGCCTAGGAAAGTGAACGTCACGCATTATTGCATGAACTGTTATATTACCATACATTTGATTCCCAATCCACCAAAGAGGGTATTTTACATATCACTCTTGTCTGATGTTTTAGTATTGTGCAACTAATGAGATTCCTAACCTAGTAATTATGAATTAATACACATTTGTTTGTCAAAATGTTCGGATTCCAGCCGCTGAAATGGTAGGCGGTAATGTGCTATTTTAAATACAATATCCCCCGTTTAAAAAAATCAATGCTTATTAGATCACTTGGGTCCACTTGCACAAACAGATGTTATTGTTGAGCCTGTCCTTAGTGTGTAATAAAGTAACTGAGTTCATTTATATTACCGATCTAAGCCCTGTATATAATAAATGTGATTTGAGGTATGAGAATTACATGCCACTATTCGTTACTACCGATCTTAGTACAAATCGATTTGTAAGTGTGATTCAATTCACGCCTATATGCTAGTAGCCTCCACTGCAAATCTGAACACCAAGATTTTCGCTGGAGTATTCCATAGTAGGGGAGTTACTTTTCTGTATTACAAAGGATATTAGTCCTATGCCTGTTCAAAGTGTGCCATAAAGTACAAGTAAATCAGACTTAGCGCGAAGATTGCTTTGAGCAAGTGGGCCCAGATTAGAAGACACAAGCTTAGGCACGCCATGGCGCAATATCGACCTCTTCGGGCAGCTTGATTAGTTTGGCTAACTTTTATTAATGTAGTTGATATTCCTTGAGGTGAGAAGTGTCAGATGCTTGCTTTGGAAATCACTTTTGCTGCTGGCTAGTCACGCCCAATATGAAATATTTCTGGTAGAAACTGACCGCTGGTCTCACATCAAATATAAGAAAACATCTATCAAATAAATGAAACATCCATGGCGTGCATACTGCAATTTGTGTAACCCATCAGACCAGGTGAGTAGCTGTTGGAAATAGGCTGCAAGCTCCCATCTAATTCCAACTTGTCACTCTAGACGACCTTGGACAATAATGCGGTATGTGAGTGAGCGGATGGTGTTGATAGCCACGATGAATATTATTTTTAGTTATTAGACGGCGTGAATGGCTGATGTGACAGGAAGCATCGGAGACAAGAACTAATGCCCAAAACATATACGGATTGGGTGCTAACAGATTAAGAGTGATAATTAAAGTTTGTATGGGATTCAAACTCCGGATTAACTGATCCGGTCAACTCACTTCATTTACTTTTAGAAAAAAACATGCATACTATATAGGATACGACAAAATACATGAGGCGCAATTTACGTACAAAATATATACATGTCAAACTAAAGGGATGTGCACAGCATTGTACCCAAATACGTTGTACACATAAAGAAGAACTTTCGTTGCTTAGCCTTCTTGCCAGACTTAGTCACTGACTGTTTTGAGAACGTTATCTCCTATTTACCAGTAACTGTACTATTTCATGTACATCGAGTGGGTGTGTGGATTTACAGCTTGTGCTTATTCCAGCATGTTGTGTTCCAACAGAGCGCGCCTTAAACAACCGTGACTCAAGAAAGAGAGCTAATAGCTCATGTTTCTGTTACTTAAAGCTTTCGTGCTACCCTTGGCAAGATCTGCATCGCACACAGCACCATTACTCTGTTTGTTTTTATAATTGTCTTAGCAGATATAAAACCACAATTGCGGTGCATAACAGGATCTGTATATAGACAGCGGCCGCCTTGGAACACAGTACACAGCCCACGTCACACATGGCTACATTGGCGGGGCGCTTTGTGTTATTAGGCGACCTGCAAGAAGCTGGTCAAACTGAAAGAACGCTGTACAAAGAAGTGAATGTTATTGTACTTGGTTACTTAATAAACGGGGA